TGTGCCTGTGTGTACGTGTGTGAGTGTGTGTGTGGGGTCAGGGAGGGAGGAGGCAGACAGGAAAGGAGGCTCTGACTCGGGAGGAAAGGATTGGGGTTTGGAATCGAGTCAAAGCCTCCAGAGGCAGATTTTGGCGGGAATGCCTCGCTGCTCTCTCCTGACCTCTGCGGGTTCCGTCGAGTTTTCTCTGCAAAAGCCAGCTCTCTCTCCCTTTGGCCTGGGAGGAACCAGCACCCCTTGTGTGACCTGCCTGTCCTCAAGGGTTTCCAGGGGCCTGAGCTGGGAGCTGAGGGTAGAAGGTCCCCAGAAATCACTCAGACTTCACCCCAGGGAGGCCACTGCTCAGGGAGCAGGGGAGAGCGCCCTGCCTCAGGGGTGTGTGCGGGGCTCTTGGGAGTTGTGGAGAGCCTCCGGAGCGTTTCCAGCCTTGGCCGTGGCCAAGTGACTTAAGCTCTTTCTGCTCAGTTTACTCCTCAGGAAAATGAGGGCTGTGAGAACCGAAATGAGTGAATGTGTGCACATTGCTTAGAGCAGTGCCTGGAGCAGAGCAGAGCTGCGTGTGTGTCTGCTCTGACTCTGGAGCCTCTGTTTTCTCATCTGAAAAATGGGTGAGGGGGGACACCTGAGGGGCCCCTTGTCCGGTTGTTGCTCTGGTTCCAGTCGCTGTTGTTATTTCCTAGGAAGCTGCCCCGGGGCCCTGCTGCCCTGCCCAACTCTGTCCCTGGGTGGTTTTCCAGCCCTGCTGGGAGGCCGATAATCAAGGAAAGATGGGTTTGGTGGGTTTCTGGGCTAGGTGCCCTTGGGTTACCCCTCAGCATCTTGGGGATGCGAGTCAGAGAAAATGGGGAGTTTCCCTCCTCAGATGAATCAGCTGTGTGACCCAAGCCAGGTCCCTGCCAGGGCCCCTCCCAGTGGGCGGGAGTGGGGCACAGTTGCCCTTCTGGGAAAATCCCCAAAACCTCGCCAAAGCCCTGGCTGAAGCTTTCTCTCGACTCAGCTGTTTCCTGTCCTCCCAGGCTCAGCCCCTGGCCCCAGCTGGAATCAGGGGTCGGCAGGGTCCCCTCACTCACAGGCCAGTCCCTCTGGAGCCTTCTCTCCAGGGGCTGGGGGTTCGCTGTGGTGGGGGTGGGAGTAGGTGGAGTGGGGGTGTCATCCTTTTCTTGGCTCCGTCGTCCTGCTGTGGTTTCATAAAAGGGAGCAGAGCACAGAGCCTGTCCAAGTTTACCCAGCCTAACCTGCCCAGGTCTGGGCTGCTTCCTGAGTCCCGCACAGGAAGGGGCCGGCCAAACAGTGCAGAAGGCCCCTGGCAACCTGAGCAGGGGGTCCCACTCGGAGGAGCTGCTGCCGCTGCTCCTGACAGAGGGACAGTCCCCACTGGAGGCAGGTAGATCCTTCCTGCTCAGTAGGCTTGGTCACTATACTCTCTGGGCCTCAGTTTCTCCATCAGTAAAATGGGAATCTTAGTCTTGGCCCAGCCTCTCTCAGGTGGTTCAGAGGACTGAACCTATGTGCTTTACACATCAGATCCTAAGTCCTTGCTGGGTCTTGTTTATCTATGCAGTGCGCCCCTTCTCCCCAGCAGCACCTTCACATAGCAGGGGCTCAACAATGCACTGGGCACTCTGGCGTTGGATGTGTGGCCAGTTGCTTAGTGGTGTCCTACTCTTTGTGGCCCCATAGATTGTAGCCCACCAGGCTCCTCTGCCCATGGAATTTTCCAGGCAAGAATATAGAGTGGGGTGCCATTTCCTACTCCAGGGGACCTTCCTGACTCAGGGATCGAACTTGTGTCTCTTGCGTCTCCTTCACTGACAGGTGGACTCTATACCACTAGTGCCACCTGAGAAGCCTGGAATTGGATGACCTGGATTGACATACTGAACTTTGTAACCTTGAACCAATGACTGAACCTCTCTGGACCTGTTTTAGAGCTGAGAAAGGCTTAGATGAGAAACATAGCTACATACTTAGCACAGTGCCTGGCTCTTGTTATGAACAGAATGAGGAAACTGAGGCCCAGACACAGAGGGTGACTTTCAGTCATTCATTCATTCATTCATTTTTTTTTGGCACTTAGCTAGGCCGGGTCCTACGCAGAGGACACCCTGGGGTATAAAGTGCAGCCACTGGCCTTGAGGGGCTTCAGATGCCCAGATGAGAGCCACAGGTAGGTGGGCATTATGGGAAACTGGGGAGCAGGCGAATGAGGGAGGGGAACCGCTGAGAGGATGACACCTGAGATCTGCAGTCAGCCAGGAGGCAGGGGAGGGTCAGGCCTACCAGGCAGAAGCAACAGCCTGAGAAAAGGGCACCAAAGTGGGTAAGGCCAGCATTGTGAGCAAGCGTCACGGGTACAGGCAGCTCCCAATTCTGGAACAAGGAGTCAAGCACAGAGCAGAGGAGATGAGGCTGGAGGGACTGGCAGGGGATGGATTTGAGTCATTCATTCATTCATTCATTCAATAATGTACGAAAAGGTGGCTCTGGCCACACACTGTGCAAGGCTCTCTGGAGACAGGGCTCAGATTTAGGCATTGTTCCTGCCTTCATGGAGCACTGTCTGGGGGGCCAGCGAGAGACAGACATTAATCCAGTGATTACAGAAGGAATCACTCGATCCTTGCTGCAAAGCAGGTTGTTCAAGCAGAAGGAAGAGCCTAAGGCCCAGGGCTGTGTGCCAGGGGGTGAAGAGAGAGCCAGTTGGCTCCAGCGTGGTGAGCATGGGCAGAAAGGGGAGCCTGAGGGAAGCTGGCAGGGGGCAACTAGGTCATAACGGGTGCAAGAGTGGACTCAAGTCACAGGCTGGGAGGGTGGTCACAGAAGGGCTTTGGGGAGTGGACAGACACTGGACAGAGGCCGCCCTGCAGGACAGCTGGCAGTCGGGGGAGAGGGGAGAATGGGGCAAGTGGCAACGGTTTGGGAGAGAGAATGAGGAAAGGGCTAAAGCGGGGCCATGAGGAGGGAGAACAGGGACGAAGTGTGTGAATTGCTGAATTGTGGAAGAACCAGGTGGTGTTGATACCACTTGGGCATCTTTGTGGGACCCACGAAGGCCTGGTCAGGAGCCCCCCAAGCCTTGGCTCAGTCTGGGCAAGTGCAAGACGCTGATCGTCTGAGGGAGGCAGGGCCCCAGGTTCCGGCCTGGAGACCACTCAGCGCTGGGGACTTCCCAGGGCTGGGCTGAGGGGGACTCAGCTCAGGGCGGAGGAAGCTGGGAAGGGGGCCGAGCCAGCATGACTCACCTACTTCCACCCAGTCAGCCTGGTGGCATCTCCGCTCCCCTGCTCCAAATTCCAATTCGATGAGGCTGCTGAAGGCTGAGTCAGTTCCAGCACGAGAGCCGCATCCCCAGGGGCTCCCTGCCAGACGCCCTGGCCTCCAACCAAGGCCAAGGCCAGGGCCAGGGCTGCAGCCAGGGGTGCGGAGCCAAGCTCCCAGAAGCTGTTGCAGCCTCAGCAGAGGGCATGGCCCAGGAAGATCACGTGAGTGAACATGCCAGTTGCATTGTAGAGTTCACTCTAGGTGAGGCTGGAGACCCCCATCAGCCTGGTGAGGACTAGGGTAACTTTTTAAAAAATATTTCCTTATTTTTAGTTGTGTTGGATGGATCTTAGATGTGCCACGTGGGTTCTCTAGTTGAGGTGCGTGGGCTTAGTTGCCCCCCGACACACTGATCTTAAGCTTCCCGACCAGGGATTGAACCCATATCCCCTGTATTGGAGGGTGGAGTCTTAACCACTGGACCACCAGGAAGGTTCCTGGGGCACAAGTCTTTTAACTCTCTCTGCCCATGACTCAGGTAACTCTCTTCTCCTCTTGGTGTCTATTTTCTTGACCATAAATTGAGCCAAAATCTTCTGATGGGTTGTGAGAATTAAATAGTCCATATGGAAGTGCTTTGTAAACAGATTGGTGGCTTCTGATGGTTTGGGTGGTAGGAAGCGAGTATAAACAGGAGAACTTAGAAGGCTTTTTAAGGTTGTGTACTGCACGACATTTCACTGCACAAGTATATTTCAGCCAAGCAGGTCAAAACCCAACCCACCCTCTACTCACCGGACCATGTGCCTGGTGGAGAAGCAGGGCAGGACCAAGGAAGTACCTTTCTCTAGCACACCCTGTGGGCTAGTAGTAGTCCCTCAGACTTACTGGGTCAAGTCCTTGAATTTATGGGAAATCACCGAACAACTGATTCTGATTCTTGGCATGGAGGTGAGACAGGACTGACTTTGAAGAGGCTCTCAGAGACATTCCCAGCTTGGTCACTGAGGGCAATCAGGACAGAGGGGGCAATCTCTCCTGGCCCTGCCTCTCTCCACCAACCAATGCAGGTAACCACCAACATAGTATTGTAAAAAACACTCAAGACACAGACCCAGGCTGGGTTTATTGAAATGCCAGGAGTACGCGTGTGACAAGGGAGCCAAAGAAAGGATGAAGGTGGTGCGGGCTATGAGGTGGCAGGGACAGGCCCTGTGTCCTTGGCCCTGGCATCCCCTCTCTCTGCTGGAGGCGGAGTGGGAACAATCACCCACTCTCTCCCAACAAAATGAAATGCTCAGGCCCACAGGACCTCTGCCCCCTGCACTGTGAAGGCCCCAAGGAGAGGGATTGGAAGCACTGGTTTTTTCTCTTGTGAAAGAGAAGGGGAGGATGCAGGGGGAGGGGGAGGTGCAGCCAGGGATGACGGTGGCCAAGGAAGGTTCTCCTGCTGGCGTCTGCACCCCGCCTGTGGTTCTGGATGACCAAGGGGAGGCAGCAGCTAATAGAGGCTGAGGGTCCGGCCCTCAGGGAGCCATTGCCTCCAGCCAGTGGGAGGGACTGGAGTCACCCCGAACACAGGACAGAGGTTCAAAGGGATCAAAGATGCAGGCAGTTCCCGAGTGACCCAGTCCTCAGAGCTGGAGAGGCTCGGCCTCCGTGGGACAAGGAGGGAGAAGACAGGCGGAGGCTCCAGCCCCAGCAGTGGGGGCAAGGGTCGTCTCCCTCATGTGGCCCTATTAGGTCAGTTCCACATTGTTGGCACGGTCCAGCACACGGGAGCCACGGGCACTGCCCCCCAGCTGGAAACGGCTCTCATAGAGAGTGGGGCAGAGGTGCCAGCGGTTGGCCCGGTAGATGCCCAGGTAGGTGTAGACGTCAGGCTTGTAGGTAAGCAGGCACTTCACACCTGCCGCACGGATGGCTGCATCTGCCTCCAGAACACCCAAGCGGTCCGTGAAGTCGTCCGTATAAACACAGATGACCTGCCGCCCTCCCTCCTTGGCCCGTGGGCTCACCTTGGCCACCTGCAGCCGGCCCTCGACCACGGCCCGAGCAATGCCAGCCCAGGCGTGGTCCAGCTTGAAGCCAGGTGCCAGGTGTATTAGCCATTTGCCAGACAGCACCTGGTGGGTGATGGCCAGCTGGCGCAGGGTACCAGGCGTTATGGGCCGCCCGCTGGTCTGCAGAGCTTCCCAGGCGGCCTGCAGGCCCTGCACATCACCCGAGTTGGGGATGTAGCCCTGCCCGTAAGCTGCAATCCAGCCCACAGGCTCAGAGTTGGGTGAGCCAGGGTCCCCGTAGCGGGTAACTTGGGATGGCGGGTACTTGGCCAACCAGGCATCCAGCTCTGTGGCAGGCGTCGTGCGGGCATCAAACACCAGCCAGGGGTCCATGTCGGCTGCCATGGCCTCTGCAGCCAGGTGCTCAGCAGTGAAGCCATCTTCACGACCACCTGGGGAGTCCTCTTCCTCCAGCTCCTCACCTGGTTCCATCCTGTGGGAGGGAACCGAATCAGGGCAGGGCCGGGACAGACTCAACTCGCTGGGTCCTAGGGGGTGCTAGGCACCGAACTGAACTTGAACGGTGTGGGCCCGAGCCTCCGCTGCCGCATCTCCACGATGGATAACAATTTGTTACTGCCTCAAGCAGTTGTGCAGAATTAACCGCCTGAGGTGGAACAAAAGCTATATAAATGTAGTTAGTGTTATTACTGCTCTCCCTGACCTACAAACGGGGAAACCGAAGCTCAGAGAGAAGAGCCTCACTGCAGGTCACACCTTCAGTGAGTGACAGGGCCGAAATGGGAATTCAAATATGGGAACCGCCGGCCCAGCTACGCCTCCTGGCCCTGCCAGAGCCTGGCCGCTCTCCCGGGCGCTGGGATTTAATGGAGGGAGGCAAAGCACACGTCCTCGCAGCACCGAGGCAGGGCCCATGGGGCCAGGCCTCCGGGCGAGCGTTATCCAGCCCGCTTAAAGACGAGGGCACTGAGGCGAGAATCGGCAGTGTCCGATCCGAGACCAACGGGGCGGTGCCTGGACTCGAACCCAGTCTACATAGAGGCTGCAGAAGGGCCTGCCCCCCGCCCCGCCGCGCCCGCCGCCATTAGTGCCCACGGCCCGAACTGCGCCCCTGCCCTGCACCCTCCCGCCAACCCCAGCGTCACCTCCGGCCTTCGCTGCGCTCGGCGCCCGCCCAGCCCCGGGCCCGGCTCCGTTCCTGCCGGGGCTCTGCGCCGCCGCCACCGCCGCGCCCCGCCCCCGCCACGGCTGCCGCCGCCGCCGCCATCTTAATACCCCGGCGCCTCAACAACAACTTTATAGACAAACGCACACAGGGCGGGGTCGGGAGGGGGCGGGGGCCACCGGGGGCGGGGCCATCGGGGAAGGCGAGGGGGGGCGGGCCTGCGGGGGGCGGAGCTAACGTTCGCTCTTCAGGTCTTGGGGGCGGGCGGGAGTGGCGGTTCTGTCCGGGACGGACGCGCACAGCCCGGGAGGCTCTAAAGGGGAGGGCGCTCGGGCCCTGCGGGCGGAGTCCTGACCGGCGGTGCTAGGACCCTGTGGGGAGCGGAGGGGGCGGAGCCGGCAGCACCAGGAGCCGGGGGAACCGCGGCGGACGGGCTACGAGCAGGCCCGGGTGCCGGGAGGCTGCGGGCGGCGGCGCTGGGCCCGGCGCGGTGGGAGAGTCCTCGAGATGCCGAGCAAGAAGAAGAAGTACAACGCGCGGTTCCCGCCGGTGAGTACGTGACCGGGCCCCGGAGGAACGGGCCGGGCTCTCGAGAGGCTCCGGCCCAGGCCCGGCTAGGGAGGCGGGCGCATCGCGGTGTTCGGGGGCCCGTACGCCCCGCCCTCTTCCGTGCCCTTCTAGCGTGGGTGCCCCCCGCCCCCTTTCTCCCGGGATGGATGTTCCCTCTCTCTGCCCGGCTTAAGCACCCTTTCCGGGATGGAGGCGACGGGGTCCGAGCTGTCTGCCCCCTCCCCAGGCGCGAATCAAGAAGATCATGCAGACGGATGAAGAGATTGGGAAGGTGGCGGCGGCCGTGCCTGTCATCATCTGTATCCTGTCGGGAGCTGTCGGGATGCGGGTGTGGGGGAGCCCGGCAGCCCCGGGGTCGCTTTTTGTGGACTGGGCCACCACCCCGCGTTCTCCTTGACCCTCCTCAGCTCGGGCGCTCGAGCTTTTCTTGGAGTCACTGTTGAAGAAAGCTTGCCAAGTGACCCAGTCCCGAAACGCCAAGACCATGACCACATCCCACCTGTGAGTGGCTCCGATCCTAGAGGGCCCGGTTGGGGTCTTCCTCCAGGAGTTCACACGCCTGGGGGAGGCTGTGCCCTGATAAGGAAGTGGCAGGCTGCTGGGAGATTTGTGGATTTGAGGAGGAGGGTTAGGATGTTCTGGCCAACGGGGAGGGTTGGGGTGGAAATTTTCCAGGTTCCATTCCCCTGACATCCACAGAGTCCGTACTGTCCCTTGCTGAGGGCCCAGATGTCTGGGCCCCATCTGAGTGCTATCCCCTTCCCACGTCTTCCAGGAAGCAGTGCATTGAGCTGGAGCAGCAGTTTGACTTCTTGAAGGACCTGGTGGCATCTGTACCTGACATGCAGGGGGATGGAGAAGACAACCACATGGATGGGGACAAGGGTCCCCGCAGGTAGGGAGCCGGGGTCCAGTGTCCAGGTGGGGAAGGCCAAGGCCCCTGGACTTGGGAATGGCTGGGGGGTGACAAAGGAGTGGGGAGACCTGTGGGCAGATGTACTGTACCTTCCTGAAGGGGCCGGAAGCCAGGCAGCAGTGGCCGGAAGAACGGTGGGATGGGAAGCAAAGGCAAGGACAAGAAGCTGTCAGGGACAGACTCCGAGCAGGAGGTGAGTGAGGCCCTAGGCTTCTGCCCCACGGGGTGGACAGGGCAGCCCTACACCAGGCCAGGACAAGCTGGCTGGGGGCCTGGTCCCTCACCTGTGACCTTTGTATTGGTTTCTTTGTAAATTGGAGTTACTGAGGTCAGCCTCCTGTCCCTGCTTTCAAGCGATGGGCCCATGCCCTTTTAGTCTCTCATTCCTGCCTTGTTCTCAGGATGAGTCTGAGGATACAGACAGTGATGGAGAAGAGGAGACACCACAGGTCCCACCCCAGGCCAGCCACCCCCCTGCCCACTTTCAGAGGTAAGCAGCTCGTGGCACTAAGGGGGGGGCCCACTGACCCCAAGACTGACCTGTCCGTCCCTCCTGGCCTCCCTGGCCACTTGGTTCTGTTGGTCTTGGCAGATTTGGGGGATGGAAAGGGAGGAACTAAGGAGTTCAAGGCTGGGGACTGTGCTCTCAGAAGGTCCTCTTTTGCTAGGTGGGGCTGTGTGACCTGCCCTGGGTCCTTCCCTTCTCTGGGCTTGCTCCCTGTTGGTACAGAGGGCGGTGGGCTCCAGGGATGCCCAGGTGGGGCTGAGTGGGGGATGGGCACCAGAGAGTGGCCTGATCTTTCTTTCCTGCTTTCTCCCCTGCAGCGCCCCGACACCCTTCATGCCCTTCACCTCGACTCTGCCTCTGCCCCCAGCACCCCCGGGCCCCTCAGCACCTGACGCAGAGGAAGAAGAGGATTATGACTCCTAGCGCCCTCTGCCCCCCAGGCCACACCCCCTTTTAGTTTGTTTTAGTTGCTCTGGGGGGAAGAGAGACCATAGAGCTGTTCTTAAATTTATTAATAAAATAATAATAAAAGGGAACACTCATCCTGTCCTGGTTTTTGTCCAGGGTTTGTGGCCTCCTTCTCTCCTTCCACTTCCTTCCTGACACTGAGCTGGGACCCGGAGCCCCCGGGGGCTGGGCAGCAGCTGACTGAAGAGGGGGAGCGTACGGGAGGCCATGGTTCTGCCAGCGCAGGGCCAGGGGTGCCAATGGAAGAAGGCCGGTCAGAGTAGCAGAGGGCCTGAGCCAGCTGGAGCTGGTCATGCCGGGGGACAACCTGCTCATGGTGCTCTGTGACCCCGGGCAGCTTCCTCTCCTCTCAGTGGCTTCTGCTTGGCTCTCTGATGTGGACCATTCTGTCCACTCTGGGCTGCTGCCAAGGGGCACGTAACAGAAGTGAGTCTGGGAAACTAGAACTCGGGCCACTTGCCTTAAAGGACATGAGGCAGGGTGGTGGGGGCAGAGGCAGGTGGTGTGGTGGGGGCCGTGAAGGCTGGCTGGTGAGCAGGCACTGACTGAGCAGACCCTGGAGCTATGCGTACGAGGCAGACATGTGTCTTCCGGGAGCAGCGGCTTGGTGAGGCGGGCAGGAGGCGTGGAGTGCTGCGGGCAGTCTGGAGGCCTGGGTTGGGAGTAAACTCTAGTGCTGATGGAGGGAGGGGATCTTCAAGGACTCTTGGGTTTCTTTGGGTGGGGACATGGGGATATAGAAGAGGGATCTCAAGTAAGATCAGTAGGGATCTTAGTAAGATCTCAAGTTTGGCTGTGATGAGTTTGGGGTGCCTGTGAGGCCGCTAAGGAGAGGCATGGGGTGGGCACTTGGATGTAGGGAGCTAAAGACAGGTGTGTGAACCTTGAGAGTCGGGGAGAGGGGAGGGCTGGGGTGGCCCACCAAAGGAGACTGAAGAGCAGCGAGCCCAAGGGCCCCTGGGAGCCTCTGTGGTGCCCACCCAGGGGCATCTGGGAGGAGGAGAGGTCAGCTGTCAAACGCCTTGGTGGGCTGGTGGTGCTTAATGAGACGGGGAGAGCTGGAGGTGAGAAACTCAGAGGTGAACGGAAGCACCACTCAGAACCATGCCGTGGAGATGGGAGAGAGCAGAGGCTCAGAATGAGGACAGAGGAACAGATTTGGTTTTGTTTTTGAAAATAATTTAACTAAACTAATTATTTTTAGATGTGCTGGGTCTTCGTTGCTGCTTGGGCTTTTCTCTAGTTGCAGCGCCAAGGCTTCTCACTGCGGTGACTTCTCGTTGCAGATCGTGGGCTCTGGGACACGCGGGCTCAGCAGTTGCAGCGCATGGGCTTAGCTGCGCCATGGCATGTGGGATCTTCCCAGGCCAGGGATGGAACCCATGTTTCCGGGATTGGCAGGCGAATTCTTTACCACTGAGCCGCCAGGGAAGCCTTGGTGTTGGTTGTTTTTTTTTTTAAGGTGGCAGATATGCAGGCTGAAGTGGCTGAAGGGATGGGAGAAGAGGACTAATGGAGTGAGTGAAGTGGGGTTGCCTGAGGCCAGCCCCAGCCCAAGAGGGGAAAAGGTGAGTGGGTTTTGGTGGGAGGTTGAGATATTCAGTTTTTATCTGGTGGCGTGTGACTTCTTTATGAAGTCAGAGTCAGGGGGACAGCCTGGAGGGACCCAGAGCAGCTGGAGCCTGGGGACACGTGGTCCTGTCTGCTGCTCATCTGTTCCCGCTCCAGCTGTAAGAAAAGAAAGCATTTTCTTTAGGGGTGGCTTCCCTTGTGGCTCAGCTGGTAAAGAATCTGCCTGCAATACGAGAGACCTGGATTTGATCCCTGGGTTGGGAAGATCCCCTGGAGAAGGGAAAGGTTACCCACTCCAGTATTCTAGCCTGGAGAATTCCACAGACTGTATAGTCCATGGGGTCGCAAAGAGTCGGACACGACTGAGCGACTTTCACTTTCACTTTCTTTAGGGAAAGCATTTCTACTCAGCCTGTGGTGTGTGCAGCTGACCTCACTTTGCGGGGTGGGATTGAGGCATGGAAACCGCCAGCCTGGTCAACCAAACAGGCCTGCAGGCAAAGCAAGGAGATCAAACCAGTCAATCTTTTTTTTTTCAAATACTCCATAATAAATGTTTATTAAAAACTTAATAGATTTTTACATACAACATGTTTATGCCATTTCGTAAACATACAATCACTGCTGCTGCTGCTGCTAAGTCGCTTCAGTCGTGTCCGACTCTGTGCGACCCTACAGATGGCAGCCCACCAGGCTCCCCCGTACCTGGGATTCTCCAGGCAAGAACACTGGAATAGGTTGCCATTTCCTGCTCCAAAGCCAGTCAATCTTAAAGGAAATCAACCCTGAATAATCTTTGGAAGGACTGATGCTGAAGCTGAAGCTCCCAATACTTTGGCCACCTGATGGGAAGAACCAACTCATTGGAAAAGACCCTGAAGCGGGGAAAGATTGAAGGCAGAAGGAGAAGAGGGTGACAGAGGATGAGATAATTGAATTGGCATCACAGATTCAATGAATGTGAACTTGGGCAAACTCCGGGAGATGGTGATGGACAGGGAAGCCTGCAATCCATGGGGTCATGAAGGGTCAGACATGACTTGGCAAATGAACAACAAAAATATGTACTAGTTGTACCTATTAGTTAGGGTGAAGGATTCTCCAGGCAAGCATACTGGAGTGGGTTGTCATTTCCTTCTCCAGGGGATCTTCCTGACTCAGGGATTGAACCCGAGTCTCCTGCACTGCAGGCAGACTCTTTACCGACTGAGCTACAAGGGAAGCCCCAGGGTGAAGGACTAATGTAAGAAACTCAAAATGTATAGATTCAAATATAATGGAAGTTTATTTCTTGTCCACATAAGGTTCATAATGAGATCTATCTGATCAGTGGGCTATGCTTCTTTAAGAGGGACTTCTGGGCTCATACTCCTTCCATCTTGTGGCCCCACCATCCTCAGTTCATGGCTTTCAGAATCGCTGTGGAGGGACTTCCCTGGCTGTTGAGTGGTTGAGACCCTGCACTTTCATTGCCGGGTGCATGGGTTTGATTGCTGGTCAGAAAACTAAGGTCTGGTGTGTCGTGTGGCATAGACAGATGAATGAATAAATAAACAAAAATACAAGGTCACTGTGGAAGGGGAAATATCAGAGGCCAGGGAAGTCTTCCTGGGCCAAGACAGGCAGTGGCCCCACTGCCTCCGTTTCTCTCTCTGGTGGACCTGTCACAGGGTCCCACTCGAGGGATGCTGGGAAAGGTGGTTGAGCCAACCTGGGTGACAGGCCAGTTTTCAGCCACAGGACCTCACACACCTTTGGGAAGGGTCTGACCCAGCCTTCAACAACTGTTAGGAGTGCACCCTTCTCAGTCAGAGGGTAGGGGCCCAGAGAGACAGTGCTCCTGGCTGGGCCTGGCCTCTGGATATCTCCTGGGAGTGGGGAAAAGATGGCTCTGCCCTGCTGTGTGTATCAGTGGGCATGGGGAGGGGGCACCTGCCAGCACCCCATCTGCAGAGCTCTTTTTGGGAACCAGGTGATTTTCATTCTTTATCCACTGGAGAGCCTTGAGCCTGAATGCCTTAGCCCAGCGTTGACTGTGCCCCAGGTATAAAAGTGACCAGAGTGTGAACAGAGGAGCAGCTTCTGGGGCCAGCGTGGCAGCCAGAACTATGATCCTCAGGTGAGGAGTGTGGGTCCACCTCTTTCTGCCACTCCCCTGCTCCACAGCCCATTTGGGAATCCATTCAGCAAACATTGAGCACCCAGCACCATCACCCAGCAGGGAAATGAGGTTCCACAGTCATCCATCAGAAGCCTGAAACTAAAAAGTCTTATACCAGGAATTCCCTGGTGGTCCAGTGGTTAGGGTCCCATACTCTCACTGCAGGGGCACATGTGTGCTCAGTCCTGTCCGACTCTTTGCAGCCGCATGGACTGTGGCCCGCCAGGCTCCTCTGTCCAAGGGGATTCTCCAGGCAAGAGTACTGGAGTGGGTTGCTATGCCCTTCTCCAGGGGATCCTCCCAACCCAGGGATTGAACCCAGGTCTCCCGCATTGCAGGCAGATTCTTTTACCATCTGAGCCACCAGGGGAGCCAATGAATACTGGGAGTGGGTAGCCAATCCCTTCTCCAGGGGATCTTCCCAACCCCCTGAATTGAGCTACCTGGGAAGCTGGTAAAGCTTCCTCACTGGTGAGGGCCCGGGGTTCAGTCCCGAGTTGAGGAACTAAGATCCCACAAGCTGTGCCACCTGGCCAAAAATAATAATAATAAATAAATAGTTCCTTTATTAAATAAATAAAAGGTCTGATATCACCAATGCTAGGGTTGGAAGTGGTGACATCAGAACTCACACTACTGAGGGGAAAGGCAGTTGGTGAGGCCACCTTAGAAAACGGTTTGGCAGATTCTCATGGAGTCCACGAACATGCACTTCATGTGAAACGGCAACACTACCCCTGGGCACACGTCCACCAACGGACACACACAAGAATGTCTGTACTCCCAACTGGAAACAACCTGAATCCCATGAACAAGATCATGAGTAAATAAATAATAGAATATTGTATAACAGAACAGCAACACAAAAGAGCAAACCACCATGACACAGAACATCAGAGTCAACCTTGTAGATGTTATGTTGGCAAAAGAAACCAAACAAACAAAAAGCAACCAAACAAATTACAGCAGGTCATTTAAATAAAGTTCAGGGGCAGGTGAAACTAGCTGATGGTGATGGAAATCAGTGTAAGTACCTTGGTGTGGGGACTGATGGGGGGCACAGGGGAACCTTCTGGAAATTTTCTATAGCTTGAACCGGTGGTGGTTATTTATAACAATGGATCCAGCTGCCCACTTTAAATACATGCACCTTTATGATACCTGCTGAAAAATTTTATTTTATGTACGTATCTACTGGGGGTTTCCCTGGTGGCTCAGATAG